GAGTGTTCTGTTTGGTTGTGCTCAGGTTAGTCTGAGTTGCAGAGGGGTTTGGACAAAAACTTCATCTATAATGGACAAAAATACAAACAAACAGAAGGAGCACCCATGGGATCACCCCTCTCACCTGTCATTGCAAACCTCTACATGGAACACTTTGAAACCCAAGCTCTAGAAAAATCGGATCACAAACCCAAACTCTGGCTCAGATACGTAGACGACACCTTCATAATCTGGCCACATGGGAAAGAAAAACTGGACAACTTCCTCACACACCTCAACAGCCTACACCCCAAAATACAGTTCACCATGGAAACAGAAGCTAACAACCAACTTCCCTTCCTGGATGTCTTAGTCTACAAGAAATCCAATGGCTCCCTAGGACACACCATCTACCAGAAGAAAACACACACAAACCGCTATCTGCACGCTCTCTCACACCACCACCCAGCACAGATCAACTCTGTAGCCAAGACACTCATCTCCAGAACAAAACGCTTAGCTGACGAACAACACCTAAAAACCCGAACTACACACTCTCACCAATGTACTAACATCCAATGGATTCCAAAGAAATAAGATTACAAACCTAATCCAAAAAGAAACCCCCACTAAAATCCAAGATGAAGAACAAGAAAACGGCAAAGCCCTCCTCCCATACATAAAAGGCACCACAGACAGAATCAGTAAGATCCTCCATAAACACAACATCAAAACAGCATTCTGCACAAACAGAAAAATATCCACCATCCTTAGAAACCCCAAAGATAAAATTGAATTAGAAAATCAAGGAGTATACGAAATCCCATGCACCACTTGTCCCACCACATACATCGGACAAACCAACAGAAGAATAAGTGCACGCATTGAAGAACATAAGAACTCAGTCAAAAAAGAGGAACCAACATCTTCCCTGGTCCAACACCTTAAAGCCACAGGACATGAAATTGACTTTAAAAATACCAGAACCATTGCCAAAAGTGAACATTTTAATAACAGAATAATCAGAGAAGCCATCGAGATAGAAAAACGCCCACACAGCATGAACAAGCGAGATGATACCTCCCGCCTACCAGCCATTTGGAAACCCGCCCTTATTGACAAACGACTCCCTAACACAAAAAATGATACCAGACCCACACTCACAAAAACCACACAGGATGTCACCACCACACATCCACGCAAAAAACAAACCCAAAGCCACACCGATGACGAGGCACGACCACAAACCAGAAGCCAGACCACAGCTGCATCATTAGCCACTTTAAACCCCTCCAATCCATACATGAAGCAAACTGACACCCTCCATGAAGAGGAAGCAGGACCACGAACGCGAAGCCAGAAAATAGCAAGGCAGCCCAAAATCTCAAACCCCTCTGCAACTCAGACTAACCTGAGCACAACCAAACAGAACACTCCCCAGCCAATCAGAGCACAGCCAAGCCCCTAACCATTCAGAACACACCTCCACCCAATCAGAACACAGCCAAGCTCCCACCCAATCAGTTCATACCTCCACTGGCAGTTAAAAGGAAGAAACAGCCAAGACCACACACTGCTGCTCGAGGCACGAAGCTGAAAGCACCAGCCTGAAGATGACGAATGGGACTTCGTCGAAACGTCGCCAAGACACTTCCAATTTTACGTGGGAGAAAACCCGAACAACCAAAGACCTACATACAAATACCCGCGAAAACCTCAGAAAACATATATATATATATACACACACACACACACACATATATACATACATACACATACATACATATATATACACATATACATATGCATATACATACATATATATATATATATATATATATATATATATATATATATATATATGAAGAATATATAACTATTCTTAATATACAATCTTTATGTTAATGATATGCTTTGTTTTGTTTTGTTGGTTTTTACTTCCTTTTTTCTTTTCCTTTTTTGTTGGCCATTTGAAAATCACAGTGTCTGATGGGCAACCACGTAAAAGGCAATCAGTCAATTAATCAATCCAAGCTAATTTCTATTGAATGCACGGAACAATTGATCCAGAGTTAAGAAAGAAAAGGGCACTCTGGAAACAGAGATAGTTTCTTGAGTACTGATACACTCGAGAATGAGACAGAGTTTCATTTGTGCCAATAAGTGATATTCAAGATTGCCAGAAATTCAACCCAGGAAATAATTACAACAGTTTTAATAATCCATTCAACTGATTTGGGGAAATTGATGTTATGTAAAACTTTCCTCTTCATTTCCAATCGTTTCCCTGACACTACATCTGTACATTCACAATAGGCAGTGTTCCTTCGCTTCTCTCTCCTTCACATCTAAAAGAACAAACAGACTTTATACATACAGCGTCTTGAGTCCTGTGAGACCTCTGAACATTCGTCCGTGCACAGATTCCAGCTGATTCCCTGTCAACATCAGTTCCTGCACTCCTGCTGCCCCATCAAAAGTGCCTTCACGGATCTCTTTGATCTTGTTATTACTTAAATTTCTGTAAGAGGAAACAGATTCACAGGCAGCATTATTTGACATATGTTTTGTGTAAGATAAATGCAAGCATGTTTGCACTGGCAACAAACGGGTGAACAATAGCTGAAACAAAACTAAAAGAATGGAACCAATTTAATTTCCAGGGTTATGCTGAAACCTGAATTGCAATATTTCACTTTTCTTCCAACAGGAAAGAGGCATCCGTGATCTAGTTCTTCTTTCTCAGGGAAGTTTTTTTTTTCTTTGAGAATTTCTTTCCAATTTCTCCTGGTGGTGTTTTTGAGCCTCTTTTATTGATGGAAGTGGCAAGAGATGCTACTGAATTACTGCTAGTGTTAGTTGCACAACTTTCCATCATTCTGCAGCCCCCATGTCTGCCAACACTTCTTAATCTGAAAAGCCCCATGGGGTGAAGTTTCCTTATAAGGTCTTCTGTGTGATTTAATTGAAAGGTAGAAACACAGCAAGGTTATACTTTGTTGAAGAAAAGATTGTATGAGGAACAAGATGAGCATTTGAATTGTTTAGACATAATATTACTAAATAAATTCAAAAGTACACACTCGCTCATTAAGTTGGAAAAGAATTGGTAGACCAGAAAAAAACAAAACCCACTGCTGCTAAAACAGAAATGTTTTTTTTTTTTGGTATGGCAGTGGTATTTTATATTTCACAATTATTATTCATATTGAATTCATGTCACACTTCTGAATATTTCATTTTTTTTTAAATAATCACGTTACTGCCCATTCTTCCAATGATTTCTAGCATATCAGTTTCAGAACAAATGTGGCATCACTGTGCCAGCAGAGCATCCAACCTGTTCTCATTTAAATTTCTTTGGGACATCTGCTTTTATTTTAAAATGCTACATACTTGAACAGGGGAAACCAGAAATTTAATTGCAGATAGGAAACCCATAAAATCCATTAACATTTTTAACCCCAGTTTTATCTGCTATTCTGTAAATTATACTTAGGATCCTTTTATTATATTTGTTTCATTTTCGCATTCCCAGTAAATTCTGTTCCATTTAATAGGCTCCTAGTCATTCCATGTTCAAAGAAATTAGCCTGCATTACTTCATTTATGAAGTAAGTCTACTAAAGAGGACATTATGTTCTCATGATTAAAGGAGAGATTTACCTTGTTTAAAGACAAACTGGCTACATCACATACTAGTGCTACTAGTTATTAACAATTAATTTACATTATTGTTTATATTTAAATCCAATCGCGATTTTAATTTTTTTGTTATATTGTAGACAATGCAGAAGACTCAAAGGGCTAGAAATTTGATGAAATTAAATAAATAAATTTTATAGCAACATTTTAAGGCATTATTTTTATTGTTTTACAGTTAAAGCAATGCACTAGAACATATGCAATGATGTAAAACCATGTTTTCAAAGAGCATGGTTCTAGTCTATAGAAATAACCAACACCTGGTTTTGTGTTATTTTCACAAAGTCCAGTTTCAGAAAGAAAACTTTACTAAGAAAGCTTATTGCAAATATATGAGACAAGACAATGTGATGTTTAAAGTATGAGACTATAAGCTGAAGAAAGAACCATTTGCCAGCAGGATAGCTCTGGTTCATATGCCTTATAAAATCTGTTCATTGTAACAATCATCACTGGGCAAAACTAATTTGGAAGACTGAGGTTAGGCTTGCATGAGGAACTGGTAGTCTATTTTCTGTTTTCTGAACAGTTGAGGCAGCCTGGTTATACAGCTTGTGACCCATCACCTTTCTTGCTGTCTGGTGGAATAAAGCAGCGGAAACAATGATGCACAAAACCAACCATTATAATGTGAGCTCTTTTAAAGTGACTTCATGCATTTCACTGGTAACTATAATCTATAAGGTTTGCCTTTATGTTTAATGTCAGCAACAGCTCAGGAAGAATTTAAATTTTTTAGAAAAATCATTTGGTGCTGAACTATTATTCAATGAAAAATGGACTTAAGCATGTCTTTCTGAATCCTAAGAACATAAGAGTTGCTTTTATAATTATCCTTCCTTTTTATCTAATAATAAATGTCCCCAAAGGTTGTTTGTCTTAGTCTTTTGAAGACATGGGCAGGTTCTCTGAATCAATTTCAAAGAAAGAGATGTTTGCAAATATATTGTTTGAATTGTGACATTTACCTTAAAGGAAGATGATTCTGAATTTAAAACAAGCAGCCATTACATACAAAGCAAAAAGGTAAACTGTTTCACGTGGAGTCAGTAAATACAATATAGTACAAGGCCTCCCTGTGAATCATAGAGTAGCTATGTGACACAGGAAACAAATACAATAGAGATGAATGATAGAGCTACATATAAGGTAAACATAACACCCATAAGCCTTTTCATGTTAACCAAACAATATTATGAAATTTTGGATGAAAACCAGTAACAACACTTCCTATAGGCTGAGTCTTTTGGGTAGTTGTGAATGTCTGCTACTACGGGTGAAGACTGGCCCTCTTTGTACTAAGAGTTTCTCTGACCTTGCTGAGGTTGCTGGGCTCTTCTCACCACTTACTGGGACATTCTGCGTTTGACTGTTGTCAGGTATAATGCCTCCCTCAGGACTGTTATTAGTATTGGTCTGTGGCATCAATACTGTGCAATCCTTATTGCCAGTGGGTAAGTGTGGCCCAGTAATACCAGGTGAGTCAGGCTGCGAGTCAGGCTGCTCAGCCACACACAGATCCACACGATTGTGACAATAGAAGTTTCCATCAACGTCCACTAGATAGGAGCCTGGTGCCACCTGTTGTAAACAGATACCCATTTTCCAGTGACATGTTTGATCTCCAGGCAGCAGTTTCATAGGGACTTGTTCCCCAATATTTAGTTCTGGCAAATCTCTGGCTGATTTGTCATATCTTGCCTTGAATACTAGTCTCTTAAGCTGTAACTTTTCTGGGACACCTTGTATCACAAGCAACCTATTTGCCACTGGTAAGAAAGTCTTTAGTCTCCCTGACATCAGTCTCTGTGCCGGACTACTGTCCATGCCCTCGGTTGGAGTATTTCTCCAATGTTTTTGCTTGAGTCATTTTGAATTGTAACAGGCTTTGTGACATCATAGTATTTCAACACTGGGGCAATCGTGACCAAGTGTTTTATCTCCTTTACTGCCTGGTCATGATTGGTAAGCCAGTGCCAAACTGAATCTTTGTCCAGACAGGTGTGGCAGGAATTTTGCTAAGTATGTGACAAAACTGATAAATCTCTGCACCAATCTGGCATTGGCGCGTGGTGGCATATCCACAATAGCTCTAATCTTATCCAGGTCAGCTTTTAAGTCTTGTGAGGACAGGATATATCCATGAAAATGGATTTCTTGCACCTTGAACTATAATTTCTTTGCACTGAGTCTCAATATCACCTGCCTAAAATGGCCTAGTAGTGCTATTAGCTTCTCATCATGGTCATGCTCAGCTTTTTTATTTGTATCACCACAGCCAACTATGAGAATGTCATCAGCTATTGGCTCAGTTCCATTGAGCCCATTCAAAAGTTCATGCTGCTTTCGTTGATACACCTCTGGTGCTACAGAGACTCCAAATGGTAGTTTAAGCCATTTCTTCCTGCCCCAAGGAGTCTGGAATGTGGTCATGTAGCTATTCTTTTCATCCATTTGCACTGTAAAAAGGCATCTCTAGCATCAACAAGAGTGAAAACTTGTGCAAAACGTCATCAAAAGTTGGCATTAGGAAGTGTGATCTTTTCAGGACCATATTCAGAAACTTGGGATCAATGCAGATTCTGATCGTCTCAGACTTCCTAATAACAACCATGTTACTTATCCAATTGGTAGGCTCAGATACTGAAGTAATATGTCCTGCAGCTTCTTACTTGTCCAGTTGAGCTTTGACTTTTGGTTTAATGGCTATTGGCACACTGCATGGGGCACATTTACTGGTTAAATGGCAGGATCAAATTCAAAGTAAATCTCTCCTGGAACAGATACTATGGGGCCTTCAAACGCCTCATTGTAGACTTGGAGGATTTGCAGTTTTTTTCAGTGGCATTACCAAGGATTTTGAGGGGTGAATCTCAACACTGTGTAACTCAGCCGGAATTGTGAACTGCATCAAACCCAGATGCTCACATGTTGTTCCAGACAATAGCGGTTTCTGATCATTTCCACAATATCACATTCAAGTTTGTGAATATCCCCACATATGTTGCATTCTGTTTGAAAAAGTTGCAATGATCCCATAAGTCTCCCTGAATATAATTTCATTTTGGTGCTACTAGGCTAAAAGGGTATCTGAGGTGCCAGTTTCATTTTGTCCTTTAAACTCATGACATCACATGTTGCACCTGAGTCCAGTTGACAGGGTTGGATTATATTGTCTAATCTGAGATTTATGAACCATTTTTTGCCCTTAGAGTTTATAGCACCAATGCATTCTTTTATGTAAATCACATTGGTGGTAAACAAGTGTTTATCTTCAGGATCTGACAATTGTGTGCAGTTTTTTCTTGCTTCCATTTTACTAGAGAGATACACTCGTGCAAAATGATTTGGTCTCCCACATGCTCTGCAGGTTTTCCAATATGCAGGACACTGCTTTCTCTCGTACATGCACACTGCCACAGTACTTGCATGATACTGGGTTGCTCCCAGGTGAATTGTGTAGATGAATTTTGTGCTGACGCTTGTGCTGATGGTTCTTTATGCTTAGCTGTTGTTTGGAGGCTGCATTGACACTGTCAATCTATTTATCCTGCTCCAATAAGTTATCCTGTCAGTAAGTTCTGTGATACTATGTATCTCAATTGCTGCTTGTAAACTTATGTTCCCTCAAAAGGTGGTGGTGTGTGCTTTCACTAGCGATACCCAGAACTATTTTATCATGAATAAGTTCATCTCTTAGAGAGCCATAATCACAGCTTGCACCTTTTTCTCTTTGCTGTGTGACAAAATTGTCTATTGCTTCACCTTCTTCTTGCTTACAGCTACCAAATATATATCTCTCATATATGACATTTT